AGATAGACCTCTCCTTGAGAGCTGAGTCAATTTGCAGACCAAAGCACACCCGCCAGGGAACTTCCACTTCCAGGGGTTGTCTCAGGGCTTTCATTCCCCAGGAGAGCAGATCGAAAGCACACCCACTTGGCCACTTTTTCAACTTACTTCTGCCCCGGAAAGCACCAACTCAACTGCCCACAGATAAGGCACCAATCTAGAAGGGGGACCCCCTGCTCTTGCTCATTTCCTCCCCTACCTTATAAAAATTCCCACCTTCTGCTCCAAAAGTGAAGCAGCACATTTAAACGCAGGACCCTTTCTGCCCCTTCCCCAAGCTAACTTTGGAATCAATTCGTTCTTTTTTTTTTTTTTTTTTTGTGACAGAGTCTCTCTCTGTCACCTAGGCTGGAGTGCACTGGCACAATCTCAACTCACCACAACCTCTGCCTCCCGGGTCCAAGCAATTCTCCTGCCTGAGCCTCCTGAGTGTTAAAATGCACATGCTGAATGAAAAGACCCCGCCCCTCCAAACAGGCTTTGTGTGAGCAACACGGCTGTTTATTCACCTGGGTACAGGCCGGCTGAGTCCGCAAAGAGAGTCCGCAGAGGGCAGAGGGATAGCAGTTGCTTGTGTAGGTTTGGAGTGGGCAGTGGAAAGGTACAGAAGTTACAGTTTGAGGGGAGGGTTGCAAGCTGCGGGGGGGGTTGTAGGGTCTGGAGTCACGAGGTTGACCAAGGTCAATTACAAAGTCCAATGGCCTTGTCAATTGAGGCCGGAATAAGAAGCAACAGAACGTTTCCAGTTAGTTAGGCCCTGCAGAGGTTGATCCGTCTTCCGATTTTCATGATCTTCCAGCTACTTCAGGCTTTCTAACTCCGGAAGTCCCTCCAGAAGTGTGTGTGGGCCATGGCACCATCAGTCAGCCTAAAAGACTTCATACTGAGTACCTGGGACTACAGGCCCATGCCACCGTGCCCAGCTAATTTCTGTATTTTTAGTAGAGACAGGTTTTCACCATGTTGGCCAGGCTGGTCTTGAACTCCTGACCTTGTGATCCCAAAGTGCTGGGATTACAGGCATGAGCCACCATAGCCACCATGCCCCACCCTCAATTTGCCTTTTTTTGTGTATCAGACCTTGCTGTTGTTAACTGGACTCCACATGCATTGAGCAACTCACCTGCCTTTTGGTTACACTGGTAACCCCAACTTCCTTTTGTAGGTGTTCATAAATTCACTTTAAACAATTTATTCATAAATATGACCCAGAATCTAGGTCATTTGCCATTCTGTAATCTCCAGAACTCACCTACTATTTCTTTTTCTTTTCCTTATTCTTTTTTATTTATTTATTTATTTTTTTTGAGAAAGAGTCTCTCTCTGTCGCCAGGCTGGAGTGCAGTGGTGCGATCTTGGCTCACTGCAATCTCCGCTTCCTGGCTTCAAGTGATTCTCCTGCCTCAGCCTCCTGAGTAGCTGGGACTACAGGAGTGTACCACCACGCCCAGCTAATTTTTGTATTTTTTAGTAGAGACGGGGTTTCACCATGTTGGCCAGGATGGTTTCAATCTCAACCTCGTGATCTGCCCGCCTAGGCCTCCCAAAGTGCTGGGATTACAGGCGTGAGCCACCCCGCCCAGCCTTTACCTTCTATATCTTGCACTTAGGACATTTGCCTGGGTCCGGTGTTATGGCACCAGTTTTGCTCACTACAGTCCCTCAAAGATCACTGGCAGAACTAAGCAACACATTTGCAAGATCTCTTAGCATCCAAGGGTAAAATGTTTTCGGGCCAAGAAACTTGACGCCACTTCCAATTGCATGAAGCTCTTTTACATTCCTTTAACTAGTTTTTTCATCCTGGACCCTATCATTGTCTTTGAGGACCTTATGGGTAGAATCTGGAAGAAACTGCCATTCCAACCTGCATTCATTTTTGTTCAGAAAGAAGATGGTGAATCACTCAGGGTCCTTCAGAGGTACGGAACCAACTTGTGTTTATGGATATATAACTATACAGGATACATAACCAATAGGATACGTGTGTATATATATGTATCCTATTGGTTCTGTCCCTCTGGAGAACCCTGAGTAATTGTATACGTGTGTGTGTGTGCACGCGTGTGTGTGTGCGTGTGTGAATAAGGGAGAATTGGCTTGCACAATTACAAAGGCAAAGTCCCATGAGAAAACCAGTAATGTGAATGAGTCCAAGTCCTAAAGCCAGGGAAGCTGACAGTGCAGCCCCAGTCTGAGACTGAAGGACTGAGGGCACCTCAGAGGCCACTGTACAAGTCCCAGAGCCCGAACGCTGAAGAACATGGAGTCAGATGCCCAAAGGCAGGGGGAGGAGAGGCAGCCTGCTCTGGAAGGGAGGGAGAGACAGAGCCAGAGACAGAGAAAAAGCCCCAGCAAGCTGCACGCCCCTTCTGCCTGCTTTGTTCTGCTGTGCTGGCAGCCAGCTAGACGGTGTGGTGCCCATTCACAGTGAGGGCGGGTCTTCCTCTCCCAGTCCACTGACTCACATCAGTCTCTCTAGAAACACCCTCACAGTCATACCCAGAAACAGTGTTTCGCCAGCCATCTAGGCATCCCTCAATCCAGTCAAACTGACACCTAATATCAACCATCACAGAATTCATGGGGACACTCAGCCCTTGGGTCACGCTTCATGGGTCTTTCTGCTATGTACATATGCATGGAACGAGCGGCCCAGTGTCCTCTTCAGAACAATTACAGGGTCATCATTATTCTGGATGATGATTTTAGGTTTGGATGATAAATGTTTTGTTTTGGTCGCGTATGTTTTTGTATGTGGTCAAGTCTGAGCTAAGTCTATAATTTTCTTGCTTTCCAGGAAGGAGTGAAATATTTCTTAACTCGGTAGGAATGTAGTGAATTACAGTGTTTGCTTCTCCTTGCAGAGTGGAGTGTTTTTTGCCAGAGCAAATTGTTTGCAAGAGCTGCCAGCCTAGAGGACTACAGAAGGACATTCAGGCAGAATATTCACCTCTCCCTAGAAGACAGCCTATGAAAGAGAACTATGTGTTCAATGGACAGTTTTTTCCTCCAAGTGGCATTACTGAAGCATAATGACCCCAAAGCCCTTGAGACTATTAGGCTCTGATGGGACTGTTGCACGGGATACCACGGGATGAGGTCATAGGCCTGGAGTGAGAGCTGGGTTTCCTGGGGGAACAGCTGTCCCATCACTGGTCACCAGGGAGGAGCAGGTGTTGGGCAGGGAGGCAGCCTGAGAATCTCGTCTCCTTTCTGGGTCTCGGGAAGGGTGGGGCCGGGATTCTAGGCAGAGCAGACCTGATTGGAAGGCACTTGCAATGTGTGCTTTGTGCTCATTCGACAGGATAGGAGCCCTGTAGGAAGACAGTGCAGCTTTGTCCAGCAGAGTGCAGCCAAGCTGTGTGTTAAAGGACAGGACCCTGTGCACCCTGCTGTGGGAGAAAGGCATGCCTGTTTCTTTACACAAACGTACCACCTACTAACCAAACCCTCTGCCTCACAAGGCCATGCCCATCAAGTGGGATCTCCATCTTCTAAGGTGCCTGCCTTGCAGGTGGGGAGAGGGGACATAGTTTTTTATTTTTTTTCTGCCACAAAGAAGACATCTTCTGCATGCCAAGCCATCAGCCTGCTTAAGATGGATAGATTTTTGTGGCTGGGCATTTCTAAATATAAGTCTGAGGATCCTGAAATTCACAACACAACAGCTTTTAATTGTTATTATTCTCTGCCTTATTCTCTCACGGGTGTGTGAAGTCTGCTCTGAGCAATTATATGTGGCTTTGGTTCCCTCTAACCAGCACTAATTCTGCACTTTCCAGTCTGAAGATGGGTCTTCTTGAATGAGAAATGGGAAGTAAAGCACAAATTGAGGAATTCTGCTTTTTCTGTTTTGTTTTGTTTTGAGACAGACTCTCACTCTGTCGCCCAGGCTGGAGAGCAGTGGCGCAATCTCGGCTCACTGCCACCTCTGCCTCCGGGGTTCAAGCAGTTCTCCTGCCTCCGCCTCCTGAGTAGCTGGGACTACAGGCGTGCACCGCCACACCCAGTGAATTTTTGGTGTGTTTTTAGCAGGGACAGGATTTTTCCATGTTTGCCAGGCTGGTCTCAAACTCCGGACTGTAAGTGATCCACCCACCTTGGCTTCCCAAAATGCTGGGATTACATGCGTGAGCCACCATGCCCAGCCTGAGTTCTGCCTTCTTGCTATCATCTGCTAACAAAATACAATAGCCCCAACTAGCCTCCCTTTTCTCTTGAGCTGTCTTGTCATTGAGGGTCTCTCCTCTGAACACTTCTGAACCCTGCTTTCCGAATAGGTCTTGCCAGAGCCCCGGATGCCACCAACTTTGCCAAAGCCTGCTCCTCTCAAGGTCCCTGTCACTTCTGCTTCTTCAGAGCACGATGCCTGCACTTAGGTGCAGAGCAGCAGTCCCTCTCCTTTCTTTCTTTAAACTACGAAAGATCAAACTGTCAGCATGAGGAGAATTTATCAGACACCCAGCATCTAGGAGAAGGAGATTCTCAGCTATCCCCACTCAATCTCACCTCCATGCCAGCGTTGTCAGATGTGTCATCAGAAGGCCTGCTCATGCCTTTGAGCCCCGAGGGCAGAGCCACCCGCTTGTGGACAAGCAGGAAGAAAAGCCACAGCTCAGCAGCCAACAGCCATCTGGTAAAATTCCATGTGCACCTTTGTGTCTGCTGGCTCCTGCCCCTCGTCCAACCATCCTAGCAGACCCCTTCTAGTTTCCAGCCTCTGTTCCTAGGTCCTCCCACTACTCGTCTGCCCACTTTTACAACCCTCTTTCTAGATTTGTCTCACTGTGTCACGTGCTTTCTGCTCTCATTGACCTTGAACTCATATTTGTCTGCTCTTGAGTCAATCCATTTTGCTTCCAGTCCCTGAGCCTAGACGTGCCTACTCCTGGAACTGCCTGCTACCAGGGTCAGCCAGTTGCTGCCGCCTGGCTCTTGGCTTTCTACACCTCCTGTCCCTGATTCTCCCTGCCGGCGAGCTGCATGTGGCTCTCTGCCCTAACCCAGCACGTGGACTGTGATTCTCAGGAGCATGGCTTCCAGGTCTGGCAGCACAACCTCATGTGCAGGCCACAGTCCTCCTTCCTTCTCTGCCTTACCATCTCCATGACTCCCTCTGCTCATGGTTTGTGGATGTTCAGGCAGGAGCTCCCATCTTAACACATGGCTTCCTCCACTCCACCCCCTCCCAGCTCTGTCTTTGAGAAAGGAACACTGTCCCATTGCTGCCATCGCACCTGCCTGGGCTCAGTGAACCAGCACAGTCTCATGGGCTTTCCTGAGCTACGATCTCAAGGTCACTGTTTCAGTACCTAGACTGTCGCCTGGGGTGCAGACATCCAAGACTGCAAAGTTTTATCCTCTCTGGTTGTTTTATTTCCTGTGAATTACTGGAGATTTCCTCCATTCTTCTCGTGGTTTCTATTTCCTTTCTTTTATCAGACTCTAATTTTGTTGCCATAGCCAGTGCAATGTTTTGGCCATTCTTGGTTTTAAAAAATGACAGAAATTCAGTTCCAATAAGTGCCAATGATAGAGAGGATCTGAGGGCCCCTATAACCAAAACAAAAAGGGAAAGAACAGGGCTGGACATCAGTGGCCACTAGAACCAGAAGCTGGAGGCTCTTGTGACACTCTCTCCTCGCCCTTCCCCTGCCTGCTGCACGCAGCTCTATGCTCTCTGGCTGGCTTTCCTCTTAGGGCTGGAGGCTTTGCTGTTCAACAGGGCAGGGCTTGCTTCTTGGTTCAAAACACCTTTGAAAGCACCTGGTTAATATCCTGGAGGATTAGGTCATCTCACAGTCCAAGGGAAAATGAGAGAAACCCTTATAGAGCCTCATCATTTGGGGGAACGGTCCTACGTGAAAGGATGTCAGTGCCAGAAAGAAGGGGTCTTGGCGGATAATAAATGTCCACTGCAGACCAAGGTTAAACACCTCCAGGCTCTGACCATCTCTCATTTCTTCCCCTCTAAGTGCTCTTCCCCAAGTTAGGAGAAGTCTTCCAATCCAGAGATCTTTCTGTTTGGCAACTTGGTTATGGAGAATGTGACCCCAGTGCACAAGGTTTTCTGTGGGTAAAACGTGGAAGGAATATATATTGGCAACAATGGTGGTGGGAAGAGAGAGGGAGGGGAGAGTCGAATTACACTGTAGTTTTCACACGCAGCTCAGCAGATCTAGACCAAGTCTCTACCAATGTTTTTATTTACATAAGCTAACTCAAGCACGGCTTCAGGCTTTCATTATAACTGTGAGTGGACACCGGTCATAGAGACAGGTGCTTAGTGCTGAGCAACGGTTTTCAGAGTTTCGGACGCAGTGGAACACCCTTTATTCATCACAAAGAAAATAGCATGAATTTTCATAAGCAGGACAGATCAGACCAGATGCGCTGTAGTTGACACTTCCCTTCCGGTATCCTCTGCAGGAACCTGAACTTCACAGGACTCAATGGAAACGCAACTGTAACAGAAGAGATAGACAAGTTTTATCCTTTGTGTAGTTAATTTATGTCTGAATTTACTTTGAAACGCTTCGGCATTGGCAGTGTGATTTGCTTGTATATGTTATTTAGATGTAATCTGCACCCAAGGGATGATCGCTTGCTGTAATTGGGAATGGGTACTCCAGGGATGGCTAGCTAATATTTACCAAAGCAGCAGACGAGAGAGAAAATGAGATCGAAGCAAAGGCGAAACCCCTTAACAATTCATCAGATCTTGTAAGACTTACTCACTATCATGAGAACAGCATGGGGGAAACCACCCCATGATTCAATTATCTCCCACCAGGTCCCTCCCACAACACGTGGGAATTATGGGAGCTGCAATTCAAGATGAGATTTGGGTGAGGACACAAAGCCAAACCATATCACACAATAACAAGGTTAAGAAAGGGAAGAGCCAATATCCACACCTACTCAAGGTTGATCCAACCTTTGTGGGGCCTGAAACTTACATACCTTCAGGGTCTTCTTTGAAAAAAAAATATTGAAAATTATAAGTACAAAATTACCTATGAAAATGAATGTTTATACAGAATGAGAAAAGATGACTTCAAAAAAAAACTTTTTGTTGTTGGAATCTTGCTCTGTCACCCAGGCTGGAGTGCAGTGGCACGATCTTGGCTCACTGCAACCACCACCTCCTGGGTTCAAGCAATTCTTCTGCCTCAGCCTCCCAAGTGGCTGGGATTATAGGCGTGTGTCAAGGCTAATTTTTGCATTTGTAGTAGAGGCGAGGTTTTTCCATGTTGACGGCTGGTCTTGAACTCCTGACCTCAGGTGATCCATCGACTTCGCCCTCCCAAAGTGCTGGGATTACAGATGTGAGCCACTGTGCCCTGCCAATGACTTCAAATTTTAAAAACCTTACAAATACCATAAAAATCCCCCAAATAAAATAGTGTTTCTATTAATTAATGGTTGACATGAGTGTGTAACATATTTTCTTACATTTTTTGGCCGTGTCCTCCCTGATGTCGTCTTCATGTCACCACCATGTTGTAATACTTTCTATAGAGAGAATAAAATAATTCAGTGCTTCCTCTAACTTAGTTGATCAAAATTTTTGCCAGGTTAATTTTTAAGATTCATAAAATATGCAACTTTAGTGACAAGTTCACTATTTGTAGTTCTTCCACAAGGTTGTGTGCTATAAACAGAAAAGTTCTGATGAATTTAGTTTTGCAGAATATCTTCAAAAAAGAAAACATCATGGAGTGTTTATAATTGTATACATTGCATACAGAACACACTTCTGACAGAATGTCCTTCATTAGAAATGGATGAGAACAGAATCTTCCACTTAGAATCTTTTTATGTCTTGATAGAAAGACACTTCCAGAGAGTAGTTTTTGGCTTTGCACAATTAAAACCTTGCTTTTCCCCCTATCCCTATGAGGATCCAGTGCCATAGCATAGGTTCGTGTTGCATCGGTGCTCTGCTTCTGTATCATCCTGTTATATCACTTGGTAAGTTTGCCCCGTGGGTGGTAAGAATATCCTGCACAGGACAGCTAGGAATAAGTTGACTATACATGGAAATGTCTGCAAACCACATAAATACCTCCCACTAAACCTCAGCTAAATGTATCACCGGCTCTACGTTCCTTAACTAGATCCCCAAAATGCTTTCAAGTGGTCACTCCCCCCACCTGAAAGGGGAGACTGGCTGAAAGAAATTCATAATGGAAAGAGAGAGTGCCTTATTCCACTGTGGTTCAAATCTGTCCTTTGCAAAATTTATAAAACCATCTACCATGTACACAGATGGCAGGGGACCCTCCCAGGGCCTTGGAAGTGGTCCATCACATGGGAGCTCTGATATTTAGCTTCATTTGTTTCATAATGCAATGCCTCTCCACCAAACAACGGAAGGCCACCAATATTTACCTAATTGGGAACAGCCAGTTGAGTTAGGTGGGTTTACAACAAAGGGAATAAATGAAAGATGGGCTTTTTCTATTTGTAAGCTTCTGCTTGTAATCATCAGCTAAACAGCCACACAGAAAATAACTGCCAAAAATTTAACAGAACTACATGGCCGAAAGTGCAATTTAATGTAGTAAAAACTAAGCACAAATCACAACAAAGGGTGGGTGAAAACAGAGGGTAGATGGATTAATCAAAGGAGTTTTCTGGAAAAGGTGAGTTTGAAGTAGCTTTTGTAAGGAGTGAGGCATAGAAAGAAAGGGGAAAATGCGTTTGAGGAAAGCCTGAAAGGTCTAAGTACACAGAAGAACATCAAATTACATATAAGGATCAGCTGAAAATTGACTGGAAAGGAGTGTTCATCAAAAACTGCATACAATTAAACTGTAGTACAATTGTTTATGGTCAGAACGAAGTAACTAATGCCCATCTAGTCCACCAAGTGTCAGCAACTAGAACACGACACAAAAATATCGATACCTGAAACAGCTATTTTCAGTTATTGAACAACAAGCGTTTCAGGCATGAGATCTCAGAGAGAAGAGAATAAAGTGAGGTGGGCCCTGCCACAGCCTAGCCTTTTATTTCAAGGCATTTTCTGGACTAGTTTCAGGAAAGGGGAATTCAAGCAGAGTACGGCAGTCTCATTGATTCAAAGAGTCGGAGACTAGAGTTCAGGAAGGCTGAGGCAGCTGGATGGAACCTGTGAGACAGAGTACCAGAGTGAAAGAGCAATACAAAGTAAGTTTCAGAAATCTGCAGAGGATCCTCTTGAATCTGGCTAAACCATAAGTTAGATATGTTTAAGGTCAAACTCTATAAACCCTAGGAAATAATAATGATTAAGAAACGATAAATCACGGGGTAACATAACTACCAGCGCTTGCACGGGATTGGGAGATGTTTGAGTTCAGGCCAGCCAGAATGGAAAGACTTCATTGGATTCTTGATGCATTCAGGTGAAATTCAGAAAGAGTATGCCTTACTTGTAGGGCTAAACTAGTCCCGGAGCAGAGGATACTCCAGATTCTTTTTTTAAAAAAGGCTCAAAGTGATAGAGCTGATCTGAAATTAATTTAATTTACTGCCAGAGCAAAAATCAATAGTCTTTAAGGAAACACAGGAAAATTCAAGCTAACAATGGAATATTCACAATAGCCAACATCTAATCAAAATTATTAGACATGCCATAAACAAGAAGTGTAACCCATAATGAAAGGGAACATCAGCCAATAGAAGCAGATCTAGAAATGACAAAGATGGAATGAGCAAACGAGGACTTTAAAACAACTATTATAAATTTGTTCAAGCAATTAAGGGAAAACATGAACATAAATAAGTAAATGAAAATTATTAAAAGAAACAAATTGGCCATCTAAAGCTAAAAAAAAAAAAATCCAAATATCTAAAACAAAAAGCCCACTAGGCAGATTTAAAAGCAGATTCTACAATTACAGAAGAAAAAAATTAATAGAAGTCACATTATATAAACCCTAGAGCAAACTATTAAAAAAGTTATAGCTAATAAGACAATAGTGAAAATAAAATACCAAATTTTTTAATCCAAAAGAAGGGAGCAAGAAATAATAAACGAAACCAATAAATCAATAGTTAACTGATTTAACACAGTCATATCAAGAATTGTATTAGGTAAAAATAGACCAAAATCATCTATTAAGAGATACTATTATACTTGGTTGAAAAGCAACATCCAACTATATGTTTTCTACAAGGCTTAATTTTTTAATACAAAGATACATATAGGTAAAAGTTAAAGGACACAAGACAATATATCAGGCAAATATTAATTATAAAGCTAGAGTGGCTACTTTGATATCAGACAAAGTAGACTTCATGAAATATTTCCAGATTAAAGGGAAATATTTTATCATGATAAAAGGGTCAATTGATCAAGAATACTTACAATATTCAACATATATGCACCTAATAACAAAGTTTGAAAATTCAAAAAGAAAAAACTGACAGAACTGAAAGAAAAAACACACAAATATAAAAGTATAGTTTGAGATTTTTAATACCCCCTTTCAGTAATTGATAGAACAAAAGGACACAAAAGTTAGTAAGGATACAGAAGACTTGAACCAATCCAACTTAATTGATATTTGTAGAATACTCCACACAGTCAACTCTGAAACACACACTCTTAAGTGCACATAAGACATTTATCTTAGAGGACACAGAAGGGCACATATTGGGCTATAAAATATGTTTCAGTAAATTTAAAGATATTCAAACCCTATAGAGTATATTATCTGACTAGACCACAATGTAACTACATTAAAAATCAATAACAAAAATATCTGTAAAATCCACAAATAATTAAAAATCAAACAACAAACTTTAGAATAACTTATGGATTAGGTCAGAAAATATTTTGGGAAATTAGAAAACATGTTGAACTAAATAGATTAGATGGCTAGCTAGATAGATAGATAAAATATGTGGATACAGATAAAGAAGTACCTAGACAGAAATTTACAACTTTAATGCTTATGATAGCATAGTTAGAAGAAGAAAAGTTTAAAAATAAATGATCTAAGCTTCTACCTTATGAAACTGGAAAAAATAAACAGCAAAATAAACTTCAAGTAAATAGAAGAAAGGAAATAATAAACACAAAAAAGAAATCTGTACAATGGAAAGTATGTAAATAGCAAAGAAAACTGATAAATGCAAAAGTTCATTCTTAAAAAAAAATTCAATGATGTAAATAAACTTCTAGTGGGAAAAGGATATGAATAGACACTTCTTAAAAACAGACATTTATGTGGCCAGCAAACATGGAAAAAAGCTTAACATCACTGATGATTAGAGAAATGCAAATCAAAACACAGTGAGATACGAAAATACATGCCAGTCGGAATGGCTGTTATTGAAAGGTCAAGAAACAATAGATGCTGACGAGGCTGTGGAGAAATAGAAATGCTTTTATACTGTTGATGGGAATTAGTTCAACCATTGTGGAAGACAGTGTGGCAATTCCTCAAGGATCTAGAAACAGAAATACCCCACTTGGCCCAGCAATCCCATTACTGGGTATATACTCAAAGGAATATAAATCATTCTACTATAAAAACACATGCACACATGTTTACTGCAGCACTATTTATGATAGCAAAGACATGGAACCAACCAACCGAAATGACCATCAATGATAGATTGGATAAAGAGTGTGTTGTACATATATACTATGGAATACTATGCAGCCATAAAAAGAAATGAGATCATGTCATTTGCAGGGACATGGATGAAGCTGGAAGCCATCATCCTCAGCAAAACTAACACAGGAACAGAAAAGCAAACACCTCATATTCTCAATCATAAGTGGGAGTTAAATAGTGAGAACATACGGACACGGAGGAGAATAACATACACCGGGGCTGGTGTCGGGGTAGGAGATGAGGGAAGGGAGAGCATTAGGACAAACAGTTAATGCGTAAGGAGCTTAATACCTAGATGATGGGTCCATAGGTGCAGCAAACCATCATGGTACATGTATACCTGTGTAACAAACCTACACGCTCTGCACTTGTATCCTGGAACTTAGAGTAAAATTTAAAAAAATTTTAAAAAGAAAGTAAAAACTATCTTCTGCTTGCTGTAGTCCCTCCCCCACCACACTCCCAATATTATGCCAGTTATCAATTCCAAGCTAATGTTTGATGACTGAAAAAATCCTCAAAATAAGCTTTGTTTTCCATTAAAGAGAAAACAACCCCTAAAAATAAAAGATAAACTTTTACTAGCAAGACAGATAAAGAAAAAGTAAAAACACAAAGATAAATATTAGTAATAAAAGAGTGACAGTATTCTAAATCTTACAAACATTAAAAAATAAAAAGGGGATATTGTTAACCACTTATGCCAACCAATTAAGATATATTAGTTGAAATGGATAATTCCTTTGAAAACATGAAATAACTAAAATTGACACAAGAAGAAATAGAAAATCTGAACAATTCTATTTAAAGCCTAAATAAATTGGATTTATAACTTAAAATCTTCTGAGAAAGTGGACTCTGGGCCTGGATAGATTAAACAATGAATTCTATCAAACATTTAAAAAGGAAATAATACCAATCTTAAACAAAATCTTTCAGAAAATAGAGGGGGAAGAAATACTTTTCAACTCATTTTATAAAGTCACCCCATTATTCTAATAACAAAACCAGACAAAGACATTAAAATTATAGTCTAATTTCTTATGAACTTAGCATAGATAAAAAATTCTTAACAAAATATTAGCAACTAGAATTTAGAAACATGATTAAACTGATAATGCATCATGACTGAATGGGGTTTATTCCAGGCATGCAAGGTTATTTAACATTTGAAAATCAATTATTGTCATTCATCACATTAATACAATAAAAAAGAAAAATCCTATGATCATTTACAACAATGCAGATAAATCATCTGATGAGATTCAGTGCCTTGCTATGATTTTAAAAACTCAGTAAACTAGGAATAAAAGAAAACTATCTTAATCTAATAAAGGAATCAATGAAAAACCTGAGCAAATCCATAAATTAACACAAAGATTTAATATTTCCCCATTAATATTGAGATCCAGGCAAGAATGCTTCTTCTCTTCTATTCAACATTATATTGGTGCCCTACCTGTAAAATAAGACTAAAAAAAATAATAAAATCTTACAGATTAGGAAAACAGAAGTTAAACCTTTTTTATTCACATAGCACACAATTTTACTTTATTTTCTTCTTTTAGTTAATAGAAATGGGGTCTTGCTGTGTTGCCCAGGTTGGTCTCAAACTGTTGGCCTCAAGCAATCTTCCCACCTCAGCCTCTCAAAGTGCTAGGATTACAGGCATGAGCCACCGTGCCAAGCCATGTACATAATTTTCTGTCTAAAAAATACTAAGGAGGCTACCCTAAAAGGGTACTACTACATTAATAAGTGAACTTAGTAACATTGTAGAATACAAAGTCAACATAAAAAATCAATTGCATTTCTGTATATAAGCAACAAATACGTAAGAAATAAAAATTTAGGGGTCCGCAGTGGCTCCGGCCAGATGTCGTGGCGCTTGCAGAGGCGAGGCCATGAGTTCAAGGTCAACCTGAGCAACCTTCAAGGTCATTGATTGGCAAAAAGAAAAAATTCAAAGCATCATTTACAATAGCATCAGAAATAGGTAATATTTTGGAATTAATTTAACCAAACGTGTAGGACCGATGCTAAAAGCTACAAAAAAAGACTGAAAGAAATTAAAGACCTTTAAAAATGGAGAGACATATCCATTTGTGAACTGGAAACTCAATATTGTTTAGCTGTCAATTCTCATCGCAATGATCTGTAGATTATACGCAACACCAATCAAAATCCCAGCAGGCATTTTTTTTCTTTCGGCTATTGTTACACTGAAGCTAAACTTTGTAAGAAATGAAAATAACCTATGTTAGCCAAAACAATTTTGAAAAAGTTCAAAATCGGAGGACTTAATCTGATTTCAAGACTTACTTTAAAACTACAGTGATCAAGATGTATTGCCTCTGGCTGCTTCCTCACTGTGACAGCAGAGTTAGGTAGTTCTAACAGGGACCACATGGCCCAGGAGGCCTAAAATGCTGTCTGGCCTTTTATAGAAGGAGTTTGCTGACCTCTGCGACAGATGATGCTCATATGTAAGACACTCCTATCTACAATTTCTGGCTTACCAGGTATTATTCCACTACTTTCTCTGTTACTCATTATAGCATATTAAAGTGCGGATAAAATAAAATAATTTTAGAAATAATCTTTAATCCCTTCTACTTTATTTAAAATAAAAATTGTTGATAGATTTTGGTACCTTATAGTTAATAATATGTTATTTGCCATATCCCTTACGACTATGTACAAAGCCATAGTGGAAAACCAGTCTAACCAGGATGAAGATAATTGCATATTGAATTTGTACAGTATGCAAATATGTATACGAAGCATTATAAGCATTATTTGACCCATTCTTTAAACGAGGAGGCTGACTGGCAAATGGATCTATTAGACCCTACAGAAAAGAGGAGGGCATGGTTGGGAAAAACAGACCAATGGGACAGTGAAATGAATAGGTTCAGATTGGTGATAGATTACACGTAGGTAACGAAGACAAGAAAGTATTGGAAAAGTATTTCTGGGGGCTGCTGTGAATCTGGGTTTTTAGACAGTGTTGCCATTGACCTGGTAGAAAAATCGTGAAAAAAATATTTCACCACTGAGAGCAGACTGATTATGGGTTCAATTTCCAATTGCTTAAAGTGGCGCTTTCCAAATTAATAAACTTACAAAGTACCTGGTCATCTTGTTAGAATGCAGATTCTGATTTTGGGACAAGGCCCAAGATTCTGTGTTTCCAACCAGCTGCCAGGTGATTCTGATATGACTGGTTCAGGAACCACACTTTTTAAAGAAAGGCATTAAATGTGATTAATGGAAATCCAACTGTAGATTTCTTCTGGAAGGTAAGAGGAGGGTCCCGACAGGGAATTTTGGTTATGCAGTTGGAAAGAAGCTGTTTGTCTTCTCTAGAGGCAAGAAACATAACCGAGGGCCTACAATCTTGAGGGGATTCTCAATGCAGAGAAGAGAAAGATCCAGAACAATCAAGGAGCCAGAGTAAGAACTATCAGAAAAATAGAAGAACCAGGAGCATGTGTCATTAAGGACTCCTATGCCATACTGAATTTTGAGGAGGCAATCAATGAATCCCAACATGCAACTCATTCATTATACCATCTTTCCTGGCCCCCTTTCTTTGCTTGCTTTCTTTGGTCTTTTTTCCAGTTCTCTGTAGAGTGTAGTAATGATTACTGGATTGTCTGTCCAAAGCTTCTCTACCCTCCCTTTTTTTAAGAAAGCCTCCCATCATCAATATGACTACCATAAGAGCTGCCATGTTTTTACATGACTCTCTGTCCTCTTCCTTCAGTTGATTGGTCCAGGCATGGACACCTGATCCCAGCTCAACCAATCATAAATTTCTTCCCTTTGATTATTCAAAATAGGATTCTACAGAGAAAAAAGTTGTCAGGTGCAAAACAGCCTTTATAGTAGGAAAAGTCATTAGGCACAAAATTTACTAATCCTAATGTGCAGCCATCTTAGGAGCCAGTACAGAAAAAGAGTAAAGACAGGTGATGGAAGGCAGTCACGGCAGTGTTCCAGCTTTTGTTCCAACTGTTCCTAAGCCCAACTGCTTTCCTTCCTTTCCCATGGTTTCGCTATTCAATGTTTCCTTCAGTGACCCAGAAAATTTCCCCTATTGCCTAAGTGAGTTTGAGTCACTTGCAACAGAATCCTGACTAATACCTGCGAAACCTTATCCCCACTCATTTTGTCTTACACACTGCCTTCCCTTGGGCCCCTGCACCCTGGTGACTGTAGCTTTCCCAGGTTTTCCTTAGGATGACACCAGGCCAAAACCAGCTGCTGGGCAAGGACCATAAACCCAGTGTTGGTCTTCGTGGATGTTAACGTGTCACTGAACACCAGTGTACCAAATCGATGTGTTCATGGCAACAGCCAAGAAGAGCCCACAAAAGTCTAATCTTTGTCACACTGGGGGCTCCACTGGCAGATTGTTAAGACCCTGGGGGCAAAACTTAATTTGCATAAGTATTTGCAATGCACAGTTTCCTTTTTATTCATTTAGACTAAATTAAATTCATTTTGGAATCCCCAAAGTTATTGCTCGTTGACTTCTCTGCCCTTACCTCCCGTTCCCGGTGTATTTCCCCAAAACCGAAAGCCATTTTCACCTCTAGTTCTCTTCATGCCTCGGATCCCAGGTGAAGTTTTATCCCTCCACAGTTCTTTAAGATTAGCAAAATAAATTAACTCCTTAACTGCTGGGAAATTTACAAACAAAAAAGTAAAATCTGCTGTTTTGCAAAAACGCAAATATTATGAGCACATCCTCCTCCCTTCACTACCCCCAACACTCACACACACACATACACACACACACTGGCAAGCACACAGGCCTGGCTGCACTCGAGAAGCCCACTCCTACCACCCCTTCTGCAGACAGAAACGCTGGCATTCGTAAGCTGTCACACTGAGGAAGACAGCAGCTGTGTTATTCCATGATTTATAGAACAGATTTGCATTTCCTTGCCTTTGAAGCTTGCCTATAATCTGCCACATAAATATTTGAAAGACAGGATGGTGGAAACAGACCTAAGCAGCTTAATCGAACACTTGGCAGGTAGAGGACTTGGGCTGGTCTTCATTTCAAACGCCCCCATTGCCCCGAGGTCTCTTGGTGTGTGTGTACAAAATTGAAATTCAATGTTTAAACCCAAACCTACAGACACAAGCTTACTTGAAGGAAAAGTCAGAATAATGCCCCTCTGAAGGCAGGTTTTGTTTCGTCTGGTCTCCTGAGGCAAGAGCCCAGCAGTCTTCCTTAAATTCTGCTCCAGGAAGCAGGAAGCAGGGAGCATAAGTGTCTCAGCCGCTCCAGAAGCCCCATGTGTGCTCATGCAGGGACAGGAATGGTGCCCTGCCTCACAGAGGCCCTGAGGCCACAGAGAGGCGCTTTCACCAGGGAGCAGGCTCATTCCTGTCTCAGAGACCTGTCACACCTCTGGCTAACCCAGAGAACCCGGATTCCCTGGTGGAGGATGAGGCAAGCCTTTCATTTCCCATGCATCTACCTTCATGCAGCTTTTCCCAAAATATGGAGAATACTTTCCGAAGTTCATATTAGGTGGCCACAGTCACCGTGCTCTTTAGCCCATTGTAAGCTCTAAGTCCTGCAGGAAAAATAACAAGCTAAGTTGATTTAACCTAATTATCTAAGTGGAAACTATGCACTTTTATTTTTACAGTAGTTCTATTAATATACTATTAATATAATAATATACTATTGGAGAATTTAAAATTTTAATATTATGCCCTAATCTGATTCAATAAATATGTATTGATTCCCCATATGTGCTCAAGGAGGAAGCCACAAAGGTGTCTTCATACTCGACAGGCCAAGAACGCCACTTATGGCCTAGGCATCTTATCAGAAGTTCCCCAAGGTAGACGGTGGGCAGGGAACAGAAAGAGGAGGTTCTTGAATATAAAAGACCTTTTATAAAATTTAAAAGGGACAAGGGCAGAAGGCACAGTGAACGGAGACCCAGACTGAAAGTCAGGAGACACGGTCAGTCCAGCTCTGCCATGAGGTTCATGTTCTCGGTCCAACCACTTCACCTCTTTGAGCCTCTGTTTTCTCATTGGCAAAATGAAGCAGCTGACCTAATAACCTCCCACGTTTCCTTCATGCTGATAGTCTCCAGCAGCTGGGGTTAAATGTAGATTTAGAATTGTCCAAATGGTGGAATGACGTCTTTTCCCATCCCTTCCCAGATGTCTGCCTGGATTCTGGAGCTCCAGGGAAAGAAGCCTCCTGTGTTCACTACTGTGGTCCCTGGGGCCTGCAGAACTTAGGACAGGGAATAGGGCAGGTGGGGCGGTTAGGGACGAAACCCAAACATGGACTTCTTAAGAGAAAGTTCAGCCTTAAGAAGAAAGGAATCTGTCCCATGCAGCCGCACAGTTGCAAGTCAGAGGAAGCTGTGGTTCTGGGTCCAGGGTGGCGTTCTCGACCATAATCAGCCACCCTGAAGTCAAGCAGATATCTGGGTGTCCCTCCAATCTCCCAGCCCCTAGAATGCCAAACAACCCTGCTCTGAGGCCCTATAACATTATCACATGGAGGTCAGGGAGCTACTCTCTTTCTAATACACTTCCAAGAAGATTTCCCAGAGCCAAAAGTCTAGGAAGACTAAGCACTTTGCAGAGTTGAGTAAGAAATTCCCAGGGACTTCCACAGATTTTGGATGTCTCAGAAATACCTACCAGGGGCCGGGCGCGGTGGATCACGCCTGTAATCCCAGCACTTTGGGAGGCCGAGGTGGGTGAATCACGAGGTCAAGAGATCGAAACCATCCTGGTCAACACGGTGAAACCCCGTCTCTACTAAAAATAAAAAAATTAGCTGGGCATGATGCCGCGCACCTGTAGATCCAGCTACTCGGGAGGCTGAGGCGGGAGAATTGCTGGAACCCAGGAGGTGGAGGTTGCGGTGAGTCGAGATTGTGCCATCGCACTCCAGCCTGGGTAACAAGAGTGAAACTCCATCTAAAAAAAAACGTCGTTCCATCCTTGCCTTCCACCTGTCTCTTTATACCTCCGCAGATGTGGCCAACGCAATTGCTACATAAATTGGACAGTGCCCAAAGAAACCTTTAACGCCATTCCGGGGTTCTTTGTCAAAACCATGGTGGCTTTTCTCTCTTCACAGAGTCGAGCCCATTGTTCTGTGGTCCCTGCAGCTGTGCCTCTGACCTGGGTGGAGCTGCAAGTCCGGGCAGGAGAGGCTCTGGGAAGCTAGAGTTGTTGCTGGTGATCTGTTTTCAGCCTGGGGCGGAAGCCGGGCTGGGTGCCAGAAGCAACTTTTGATCAGTCATTAGGCACAGACTTTGCTCCAGCCACACAGCCCCTTCATTCCTGCCTCCGGCCTTTGCACTTGCTGTCAGCTCTGCTTGGAATCTTCTCTCTTGATCTGCACCGGACTTGTTGCTCCCTACCTCATCAGACGTTACCTTCTCAGGAGGACCTTCCACGTCCACCTCCGGGGCCGGCCCTGTTCTCGCTCTGCCCACTGCCCTGCTGATCTCCTTTGACAGTTACAAGCATCTTATTTATTTATTTATTTTTTTGAGACGGAGTTTCGCTCTTGTTACCCAGGCTGGAGTGCAATGGCGTGATCTCAGCTTCCTGGGTTCAGGCAATTCTCCTGCCTCAGCCTCCTGAGTAGCTGGGATTACAGGCACATGCCACCATGCCCAGCTAATTTTTTGTATTTTTAGTAGAGATGGGGCTTCACCATGTTGACCAGGATGGGTCTCGATCTCTTGACCTCGTGATCCACCCGCCTCGGCCTCCCAAAATGCTGGGATTACAGGCGTGAGCCACCACGCCCGGCCCTGCATCTTATTTCTTTACATGGCCATGATCTCTTTCCTTGCTGAAACGTCTGGAACCTTAGCTCCACCAGGGTCACCCAAAGGCTCCCAGGTGACTAGTGACCCACACAGACCAGACCCCAACCTTCACCCCAGAAGGCTCCTGCTTCCCCCCTCTCCGCCCCACACAGCTCACCTCAGCCTTATCTCATAGATGAGGAAGACTTTGGCTCCCACATAAATGCCCATGCGTGTCACGGCCCAGACAGCAGTGCTCATGCCTGTGAGAGGTCAGGGCAGACCTGTCAGTCCCACGCTGAGATGAGAGGCCCTGAATGCCTTTCCATCTCATAGGGTGAAGCAGGGAGGGCTGGACACACTCTCCATCTCAAAGGGCAGGAGGTGAGGGGCAGGCCTGACAGGGAGGGATCTTGTCTCTCTTGTTCACTACTGTCCACAGCCTCCAGCCTGGTTAGGGTTAGGGTTAGGGTTACATGATAGATACTTAATATCTGTTGAATGAATGAATGAATGATTACGTGCACACAGCAGCATACTGTGTGGCTGCTTATCCAACACAACTTCATTCCTGCACTTCTCCCTTCCTAACATAACTCCAATCTGCTTGGCAACATGTCCTATCCACACCGTGGGTTTCCACTAGGCTGTTCATTGTATTCTCTTTCCCTGTGCTAATAACTGGTTTTCCAGAAGGACCCATCACTTAATCCTGGCCAAAACCATAAGCAGAAATCTACTAGGTAGGGGCAAAGGGTTCTATAAGAGGGTTTCCCCGTTTTAGAAAGAGCAGTCACTGTCATATTATCTAGATTGGATCTGTTGTACCTCACTTCTCATTCTGAGGAGAGTTACCGTGAGGAAAAACGCAACCCGATCAAGATAGCTAGGCTGAAAGTTGGAAGAAACTGGGTCCTCTATGAATGCTGGGTCTTCACATGCTGCTGTGTGCACGTATTCATTCATTCATTCATTCATTCATAGACGTTACTGAATAACTAAATTAACCATCTTCAGAGCTTGCACACCTCTGGATTGCCTGCCGTGAAGCATAGTAAATTCTCTTATTATTAAGCCATTGTGACTTTCATATTTTCTTATTTCAGCCAAAGGCATTTGAACCATAGAGACTATGGCATGCACTGTCCCTTGGTCCTGATGGCTACCACTGGCCTGTAGAATAGAGGCATGGCTTTTCTCCACCAGGTATAGTGTAAGTAAACATGAATTAGTGAAATACTTTTTTCTTTACTTCATCCATACACCCCGCAAACGTCATCAAAACTCTGTGTGCCAGGCACCGTGCTAGAAAGAAAGATCTAAAAGGCAAGCTGCCAGCCCCAAAGAAGCTCAGAGTCCAGTGGGAGGCAGATCTATCGATAGAGACTGACAGCAGAGGCATGCAAAAGTGCCACAGCAGCAGCGGAGAGCAGTAGGGAGAGGACTTGGAAAAGGATAGGCAGGAGGTCAGCTAAGCTGGTTTCACAAGAGGCTGTGTCTGAGCTGAGTCTTGAATGAAAAGCAGGAGACGTGCAGGTGGACCAGCTGGCCAAGAGTCTCTCAGGCAACGGGGACAACAATATGCCACGTGGCAGAGTAGGAAAGACTGCTTTTTACAATGGGCCAGGCACTGTGCTAAGCTACATATACATTGCCCCTCAGATCCTTAACAATACACGTGTATTACATCACAATTACATATACATTGCCCCTCAGATCCTTAACAATACACGTGTATTACATCACAATTACATATACATTACCCCTCAGATCCTTAACAATACACGTGTATTACATCACAATTACATATACATTGCCCCTCGGATCCTTAACAATATTCACACGAGGCAAATATGGTTATCTCATTTTGTAATATGGAAACTGAGGCTTCTAAGGGTCAAGGAACTTGTCCAAGTTCACACAGACAGTAAGTGGCAGAGCCAGGCTTCAGACCTCGGTCATTCAGAGTCCACATTCTCCTTGCCACGCTGGCATTCCTCCTACACTAGTGGTCCCTGTGAGGGAAGCACACTTCTGTGGAGCAACCTGGTGTCCTACCATCAAAGACAGCATACCTCCATGGGCAGGCGAGAGAAGAGACTGAGCACACAGGTAGGAAAAGGTGTGCTTCAAGAGGGGTAGGAGTTACATGGGTGAGCGATGGAGAGAGCAGGCAGAAAAGAGAGAATGTGGGGGACGTGAAAACAACAGTTTCTCTTCTACCCTGTTTATTTTAACTCGGATGGCTTTACTCAGGGTCACCATCTTCTAACCTTTCCCCTTTAAGTCACTCTTACACAGTTGCAAGTGTCATTTAACTAAATTATCCTGAAAATTTACCAGCCCACAAATTTTCGTTAACCAGCCTGCCACAAATATTATACAGATGGCAGAATAAATAAAATTCATTGGTAGTTACGACTAGCCTCCCTGAAATGATAACTGGCCCCAGGCCCACAGGGACTCAGCTTTGAGAAGGCTGCCTTAAATAATGAACAGGCAGATGAAACAAACAGTCTCCGGGCACTGCGTGGCACTGCAAGCTGGCACCCCAGGTCCTGCAGACACCCTCGGTTTGCAGGCCCTCTTTTTCATGAAACAAGGGGTATGGCAGACACTCATCATCATCATAAAATAATGGCACTAGCTAATTTCCTGAGGCTTCAAGCTCAGCAGGGAAGGATATAATATTGCAAGCCAGCAGAAGCCAAGCAAGTGGTGATACAGTAGTTCTGTTTTACATTACATTAAATGTTACTATTTCTGAAGGGAATATCTGCGGAGCACTAGTGTAACCCATAGCAACCAGCTAATAAATTGTAACTTACACTGGCTCAGCTTATTGTAGGGGTGGAAAACAGCAAGAAAAAAACGACCAAAAAAAAAGGCAAATGCTGGCAAAAATGCCACATTTTTTTCCTCTTACTACCTCCCCTACACACACACACACACACACACACACACACACACACCCACAAATACGGGCTGCATCAGCATTATCTAGCAAAATTACTTAAGGTGAAGTGGGACAATTAGCAGTCAAGATTTTACAATTCCTGACCTTCACGTTGATCTATATATACAATGTCTCTTTTTAAGCTCAGAAGTTGTACTTTAAATGTTTCCAACCCTGGGCCTTGCCCTCTACGAGGGTGACCTGTGGCATCATTTTGCAGCTTGTATTGAGGATGAGAGTCCTCTGCATCCAGCCTGCACGTGGAACTAAGCCTAAGCCATTTCATTCACCGTTTTTCCTTCTGTCTGCAAATAGCTCATGCCTAATTGCCCCCATACTTCAAATTCACAGCAGGCCGGTGAACCTGGCTCTCTGCTACATTGGGCCTACTCTTTAACCTCAACCATGATAGATTCCTTCCATCCATTAATTCCTGCTCCCTGAGCCATTCAGTCTTTTACACATTCAATCAGTCTCTCTGAAATGTGGGCACTGGGTGTGTATTTACAGGGAATTATTTGTGGGGCACTTTGTGGTCTTCAGACAGCATGTTCATCTGTTTGAGTTGATCGAATGCACACACCCACTATCTGCCCATGTCAATAGTGCTAAACTTAATGAAAGTGCTCTGTATCCTGAAATGCCCACCACTTAGCCACCAACGGGGAAGTGACCACCACTCAGACCACCTGAGCATTACTCGGCATCTTTCTTCTGTCTAGCCATCTCTGTACTGTGTACAGAAGAGGAGAGCCAGGGAGCTCATCAAGACTCAGACGATAGGGGCTCTCCCTGTCTCTCCCCCTAGGACGCAAGTGAGGGACTTAGAATGAAGCACCCATGGTCAAGAACCATCTCGGGCACTTGCTAGCTGAGTGTCATTTGGCAAAATCATTTTACTTCTGGGGCCTTCATTTCTTCATCTGCGAGGTGAGAACATTGAGAGTATCAGCTGGGATGCACTTGGCAGGAAACAGAAAACCCAACCTACAGTGCTTTAAAAAGCGGGGAAGTAGAGTTTCTCATGCGACAGTGGGTAGGGCGGCCTGGAGCCTCAGTTTCTACTTCTCCGTGCTTCTTTTTTCAGCTGGTTCCTTGCATCCCCAAGTTCTCTCCCCAGAGTTTGACTCGCCACTGCAGGGCTCGTGACACTGTTTGGGAAGAGATTGCCTGTTGGTCTCCCCACGTAGATCTGATCCCTTCATTTGTCTATGAAAACCCTGGCTTCTGGACCAGTGGCTGGCACGTGGTCTGGATGAATGGACGGGTGAATGAGTGAGCAAATGATTTCAAGCAGTCTTATTTCTTGGACAATGAAAAGGAAATTTGGGGAAAATCAAAAGCTGCAACATGTGCAAAAATGCACTGTAAACTGTAAAATGCCACACTAGGAAATGTTATGGTTATTAATTATTACAGTCATGAATCTTCATGCTATAAGAGTAGCCCCAGTCGGGCGCAGTGGTTCACACCTGTAATCCCAGCAATTTGGGAGGCCGAGGTGGACAGATCACCTGAGGTCAGGAGTTCCAGACTATCCTGGCCAACATAGTGAAACCCTGTCTCTACTAAAACTACAAAAATTAGCTGGGCATGCTGGCATGTGCCTGTAGTCCCAGCTACTTGGAAGGCTGAAGCAGGAGAATCGCTTGAACCTGGGAGGGGGAGGCTGCACTGAGCCGAGATCATGCCACTGCACTCGAGCCTGGGTGGCAGAACGAGGTTCCATCTTTAAAAAAAAAAAAAAGCAGCCTCTTGGATGCTGGTGTCAGCCCTAAGCACACCATACCAGCAGTGGAGTTTTTGATGACACAATGGAAGAAAAATGGCATTTCCGGGAAAAGTAGATGACTTTTGCCCCCCAAACATGGTTTTAACATCCACAGTATGACTATTACGAAGGTCAGAAGGTATCTTTACAATGGAGAGATCCGATGGACACCCTCCTTAATCAAAAAATGGAGCATCACAAACACGAAGGGCACCCTAATGGGTGCAGCAGGAAGCACACAGTATCACCTACGGAGCATTCTTGCCGCAGGTATTTAGCCAGAATCTCGTCATGGGGAAACCATCAGCAAAATCTGGATTGTGCGACGTTCAATGAGACAACCAGTGAGCTCTAATAATGCCATGGTCGGGCGTGGCATCACATCTGTAATCCCAGCACTTTGGGAGGCTGAGGCGGGAGAATCGCTTGAGCCCAGGAGTTCAAGAGCAACCTGAGCAACACAATGAGACCCTGCCTCTACAGAAAACAAGTAAATTAGCTGGGCATGGTGGTGTGGGCCTGTGGTCCCCGCTATTCAGGAGGCTGAGGTGGGAGAACTGCTTGAGCCCAGGAGGTCAGGGATGCAGTGCACTCCAGCCTGAGCAACAAATAAAATAAAACTCAATGAAAATGCATGCCAGTATCATGAACACAAAATAAGCCGTAAATAGAGGCAGGAAGCTTCTTTTGGATTAAAGGAAACTAAGAAATAATAATTAATTTTCAATGAGTAATGTTGAGTGTATCCTGGATTATAAAAATGCTATAAAATAGATATTTTTAGATAGCTGAAGTAAATATTAAAGAGTGCTATTGCATTAATGCTAAACTATTTTAGTGTGATAATATTTTAGAAGTGTGTTATTTTTATTTGTTTGTTTATTTATTTATTTTTGGAGACAGGGTCTCACTCTATCACCCAGGCTGGAGTGCAGTGGCAGGATCTCAGCTCACAGCAAACTCCGCCTCCCAAGCTCAAGTGATTTTCCTGCCTCAGCCTCCTGAGTAGCTGGGATTATAGGCACCTGCCACCGCACCTGGCTAATTTTTGTATTTTTAGTAGAGATGGGGTTTTACCAGGTTGGCCAGGCTGGCCTTCAACTCCTGACCTCAAGTAATCCATTTGCCTCGGCCTCCCAAAGTGCTGGGATCACAGGCGTGAGCCACGTGCCCAGCCAGCATTTGGTTCTTGACTTCTACCTAAGCCAAATTGGGGAGCCCAGGATAACATATCAGAGAACACGTATTTGTCAGGATTTCGTCTTTCTTTCAAACACATTAACTGGTCCCCTGCTGTGTGTCCCTACTGTGTCTCCTCCCTCTCCCCCTTTCCTTCTACCTCCCAGTCTTCTCTTCTTCCTTCACTGCCTTCCCACCAGTGATCTCAAATGCCCTGGCATTTAAATGACCATTGTCCCTGCCTTCCAGCCCTGCGTATTCTAGATAAGACATCCTTTGAGCAGAAGTAAGAAGAAGTGCCAGTTATTTCTTCCCTATCACATGAACATCACACACACATCACACACACACACACACACACACACACACACACACACACCCCTGAGGCTTGGACGAAAAAGGACAGATTAAAGTTAAGCCTTAGTGAATCAAGTCCACTTTAGAGGCAATATTTGGGACAGGGTCCCAAGGGGCTCTGAATTATGAAAGGCTGAATCTGGCCCTGGCTGATAAAATGCAGAGCAGTCCAAGCCTGGGAGGCTAGGCCATCTGGCAGAGTTTCCAGTTAGGGCAGGTCCTTGCTGCTTCCTGTCCCTGTGGCCGGCAAGACCTACCAGCCATTGGCAAGTGGCCCTTTGCCCCCTGGAGTATCCAGTCCTGACTGTGCTCATCTCCTCTGTGGTATTTGGCCATCTTGTGAATTTATTCCTTTAGTATATTCCTTGCTCCCCAAACAGGACCAGACTTCTCCACAGGCAGGATGGGGAGGGGATTATGGGATGGGGACCCCATCCCACTGCATGCTGCGTAAAGTTTAGAATGCGCGGCCAGGCATGATGGCTCACACCTGTAATCCTAGCCGAGGTGGGTGGATCACCTGAGGTCAGGAGTTCAAAGCCAGCCCGGCCATCATGGTGAAACCCCATCTTTATAAAAAATAAAAATAGAAAGGCCATGTCTTAGGCACACAATACTTAAGGGTCCACAAAAAGGTTTTACTTTGCTTTAATGTCAGAAGAAAAATGATAAACTTTTTGGAGGTCAAAGACTAGAGTCTCCTTTATACCAGTGTTGTCATAAAACATAATCTTTAGTATTGTTCTGTTCACTCCTCCTACTCCGCTGACACAGGGCCAAGGGCCGAGGAAGATCATGTGACCCTAGGGACAGGTTGTTGGCTCTGCTCCCCCAAGCCCAGGGTGCCCAGGACCCCAGCCCCAGGGGAAAAATGAAGACCAGGTGCCTCAGGACCTCCACCCATGACCCGTTTCTCTGCTCCTGGCACCTTCTCCAGCTTCTCTCCCATGAAACAAGATAAATTAGGACAACGTGATGAGTTCTTCACAAAGTTAAATTGATATCAATGAAAGGACAGTTCATTTTTGCCTGACATTATGTCCATTTTCTTTCTTTCTTTTCCTTTTTGGTACGAAAATGTCCTTTCTTCTACAAAATTATGATAATGGTAGATTCTATTCTCATTAAACAGTATTGCACAAATGTAAAAGTCGATAACCTTTTGTTGGTCCTGACAACCCCTACCCCCAGTTCCATGGACAATTTGCTTGCTCTACTAACCCCCCCACTCTGAGAAGCACTGGCTTAGATACTTCGAGTTTACCTTCAAGGCTTACGTCTTACAGGTGTGTGAAGCTAGCATGTTGGGAGGCCGACTCAGGAGGATCACTTGAGCCCAGGAGCTTGAGCTTACAGTGAGCTGTGATTGCACTATTGCACTCTAGCCTGAGTGACAGAGTAAGACACTACCTCTCAGAAACAAAACTGACCTTTTATGACATCCTCTCTGAAGCCCTCTCAAAACCCAGAGCTTTGGAAGGCCCTGCTTCAGCTGGACCTTAGTACTCACTTCCTGTTTGCATGTAAGCATTTCTCAGCTGTCTCCCTCCTGGACATCTCTGGAAGACAGGGCTGTACCTGACTTCTTCATGTCTCCTCTCCTTGGCATGGTGCCTGCCACACAGCAGCTGTAGCCGCTCAGTCAATCTTGATTGAATGAATAAAAATATTAATTCCCAGAAAAATTAAGTTAATAGAGTATCTTCAGCTTTTAGTTTTGTTTCTCTACATTTTTGTTAAATACTTGGCACCTGTTATTGCTTATCCACTGGCCGGTGCTAGCAGATGACCGAAAGAATTAGCAAGTAACAAACGCATATTAATAGACGCAGACATCGCGACAGTGTTTGACAGCTTTTTTCCATGGACAGGTGTTTGGGCTTATGGTTGTGGTTTTATATTATGTGCTAGTGTCTGTAAGTTTAATTAAATTTAACTTTTTTTTTTTGAAATGGAGTTTTGCTCTGTCGCCCAGGTTGGGGTGCAGTGGTGAAATCTTGGCTCACTGCAACCTCTGGTTATTATCCCCAGCTCACAATGCACACACATATATATTTGTCATAAGATATTCACGGAGAGGAAGTTTTATTCACCCGTGTCTAATGCTGTGCCTGGTACGTTGCTCTCATCGTATCTATACGGCACTGGATTGAATTTGTGTTCTCAATGGTCCCAAGATGAATTCTGCTTCTATTTTGCTGGTGATCTGTGCATCACAATTCTTCCCATTGTAAATCGCAGAGGAGCCAACAAAGAAAGGCTAGTCAATAACCAAAATATATAGCGATATTTCACGTACTAAGAAGTCTGGAGGCAGGGAGGCTCCAGGATCGAATTCAGTGGTTCCTTAACTCATTACAGAACTGCCTTCCTCAGACTGTGGGCCACACTTAGTCCTGGTAACACGTGGCTGCTACAGATCCAGTTTCAACACATAAAGCAAAGAAAAAAAAAAAAATGCAGAAGAGACATCCCTTCTATGATTCTCTTATTATCACAGAGGAAAATCTTTTCTAAGAGACTACCGGCAGATGTCCTGCCACACACTGTTGGTCAGAATTGTAACACGTTTGTACCTAAAAGAAGTGCTGGCGAGGAAAACAAAACTATCTCACACTAACCGAGATTAACAGCCTTGAGGGAAACAGACTCAGACTCCCCTGAGCACATGACCACCACATATCTGAACAAAAGAGAAAGTAAGACATGGCTTTGTTTAGGCAAGATAGTGCCAGCCAAAAATCTCTGTACATTACAGGCTATGTCAAGCCTGGGCCCATCAGAACGGTAGTCTTGAGCTCCCGGACGTGATGAGTGGGTTGGGAGCCCCTGCTCCTATCGGAAGATAATAACAATGTATACCGTTCATTTCTAGACGAGGATTTCTTATCTTCTTTCTCCTCAATGTTCCAACAACCCTCCCCCATCCTCAAGCTCAGCCAATGACTTTGCTGAGAAAACATAAGCAAAGAAATTTTGTAGTCTTCTACCTACATGTGCCCACCAACTTACGTCAGTGGCCACGTATTCTGCCTTTCCTCTCACATCATAAAAGATGCATTCTTGGGCCGGGCGCGGTGGCTCACGCCTGTAATCCCAGCACTTCGGGAGGCCGAGGCGGGTGGATCACGAGGTCAAGAGATTGAGACCATCCTGGTCAACATGGTGAAACCCCGTCTCTACTAAAAAAAAATAAATAAATAAATACAAAACATTAGCTGGGCATGGTGGCGCGTGCCTGTAATCCCAGCTACTCGGGAGGCTGAGGCAGGAGAATTGCCTGAACCCAGGAGGCGGAGGTTGCGGTGAGCCGAGATCGCGCCATTGCACTCCAGCCTGGGTAACAAGAGCGAAACTCCGTCTCAAAAAAAAAAAAAAAGATTCATTCTTGGCCGGGTGCGGTGGCTGACACCTGTAATCCCAGCACTTTGGGAAGCCGAGGTGAGCAGATAACAAGGTCAAGAGATGAGACCATCCAGGCCAACATGGTGAAACCCTGTCTCTACTAAAAATACAAAAATTAGGTGGGCATGGTGGCACACGCCTGTAGTCCCAGCTACTTGGGAGGCTGAGGCAGGAGAATTGCTAGAACCCAGGAGGCGGAGGTTGCAGTGGGCTGAGATCTCAGCACTGCACTGCAGCCTGGTGCCTGGCGATGGAGCAAGACTCTGTCTCAAAAAAAAAAAAAGAAGATTCGTTCTTGCTCCCAGCTAAGTCAATGCCTCCAATAGGTCCCATTTCCACTCTTCTACTCAAGGATATCACCCAGCAAATCTTTTTTCTGTGTTCTTCATCACTTGATTTTCCTCTCTCTTAACTGTCTCTAAATGGTCTTTTAACTGCAAGTCCTTCTAGCATTATGGACCCATTTCTCCATTTTTCTTTATATGAGAATGCCTTAAAAGGGTTATCTACAGCCTTGGCTTTAATTCTTCTCCTCTTATTCTTTAACTCCTCCTAAGCAGGCTTCCACACTTCGCACTGTAGTAAAATCATTTTTCTCAATGTAACCAAAGACATTCATTGACCAAATTCAACGACTGACTCTCAGTCCTCATCTTACTGGATTAGGTAGCTTCCTCATTTCCCCCAGAAACACATTCTGTACCCGGTTTCCAGGATACCGATCATGCCTGGTTTTTCTTCTGTTGCACTGGCTGGTCCTTTATCACTTTTAGGGATTCCTCTTCCTCTTTAAATGTTATGGTTTCCTAGGGCTCAGTCCTTAAACTTCTCCACCTTTACTCACTTGCTTGCTGTTTTTATCAGTCCCGTGACTTTATCATCTAAATGCTCATAATTCCTGGTTTGCATTTTCAGACATCCTCCCTGGATTCTAAACTCAGGCATCCCACAGCCTACTTGACATCCTAATTTGAATGTGCACAAGGCATCCCACATTTTACATGATTGTACCAGTTATATATTGCTACATCATAAAACTCTGAAATTTTGTGGCAATTTGGGCTGAGTTCAGCTAGGTGGTTCTTCTGTTCTTGCCTTGGGTCATTCACATAACTGCTCTTTTGGAGCTTTACTGGCTGGTTTAAGACGTCCTTGCTTACATGGGGGATATTAGTTGAGACTATTGACCAGGACATTTTGGCTGTCCTCCATATGGTTCTTCAGCAAGAATCCTTGGAAGGCCAAGGCAGTATTCTAAGAGAGCAAGCCCCAGTATGTATGGCCTAGTACATGACTCACTGGGGGCTATTAAGGTAACAAACTCTCACAATGTCCAAAACATAATTCATAACATCTACCACCCGCTCCATCTCATCCCCACTCCCATATTTGCTCCCCTTACAGTTTTTCTCATCTCAGCGAATGACCATCCCATTCTTTCAGTTGCTCAGGCCAAAAACCTCAGAGACATTTTTGAACTTCTCTCTCGTGTTTACACTTCTCATTAAATCCATCATCAAACTCTGACAGCTCTTCCTTAAAAATAGTATCCTGAATCCAACCACTTATCACCACCTCCTTCTCTACTCCCGACCCTAAGCCACCACCACCTTTCACCTGGCTCATTGCACTGATCTTTAACTGGTTTTCCTGACCCCTAAAAACTTATTTGCAGCACAGCAGCCAGAGCAATCCTCTTAAAACATGCATCACATTCTATCATTCCTCTCCTTAAAATGCCCCAGAGTTTTCAATGGCTAACAAGTTTCTACATGATTGCACTCCTGGCTGCACCTCCCCTCTTACACTCATGCACCATTGCCTTTCCTGCCCCACTTCCTGCTACTCTCCCTCCCTCACTGAGCTCCAGCCTACCAACCTCCTAGATGTTTTTCATTCATGCTGGGTGTACTCCTGGCTCAGGCAGGGTCTCTGAACCTGCAGTTCCCTCTGCCCAGAATGCTCTTCCCTTACACTGTTGCATGCTTGGCTCCTTCACCTCCTTTAGATCTTTAATCAAAAGCTCACATTTGCAGGGAGTCTGTGCTGCTCTGTTTAAAATTGGAACCCCTCTTCTCCCAGCACTCACTCCTTTATCCCCTTTCTGGCTTCATTTTTCTCCGGGCACTTTCATCATCTGATGTGCTGTATATTTTATTTATTTACTTGATTATTGTCTGTCTCCCCCTGCTAGAATGTTAACTCCATGAGGACAAGATTTTCTTCTTAACTCTTTTGCTCACTCAGCACCTGGAATAGAGCCTGGCATGTAGCAGGTGTATAATTAACTGGGCATTTAATATGTGCTGTGTATTTCACCTAGTGTGCTATCCCTGTATTCCTCACAGTAACCCCGATATCTACAACATGGAGGAAAAGCACTACAATATCTCCTTAGATAAAGCAGGTGGTATTGTGTTCATTTTGCCAATGAGGAAACCAAGGCTGGATATGTCACCCAGGCTGGAGTGCAGTGGCACAATCGTAGCTCATTGCAGCCTTGACTTCCTGGGTTCAAAATATCAGAGTAGCTAGGACGACAGGCACATGCCATCATGCTCGACTAATTTTAAATTTTTGGGAGAGATGAGCTCTCACTATGTTGTGGAGGCTGATCTTGAACTCTTGAGCTCAAGGGATTCTCTCGTCTCAGCCCACCAAAGTGCTAGGATTACAGTCGTGAGCCAGCACTCCCCTGCCTGCACTCTAAACTAGTGAGCTGGACTATCATTTGCCTTCTTTATGTCACCTTGTGTCCCAGAGGCAGGGCTGGCAGTGCTGTGGCCTTCTGGTCAGCATCTCTGTGTGGTGACGCCTGACCACCATTCTGTAGTTTCGTTGCTGACCCAAGAGTCAACAGTTATGAAAGAAAAGGCAGAGAAGGAGGAGAAAGAAGGGGAAGAGACAGAGAAGAAAGAATGGGAAGAGAAAGACGGAAGTGGTGGTGGGGTGACCGTCAGGAGCCATCAGCTTCCTTTTGGTCTGTAGTGCAGTACCAGACTGCACGGCAAGCACCCAGGGAAGGGGGATTCTGTGTGCTCCCCTCCAGGTCCCCAGCTCACAGTGCTCCTTTCAAATCCCACTATTATGTCTGTCCTCCTTTTCTCTCATGCTAAAGACTGGATTCCCAGGCTGAAAACAAGCTTTTTAATAAGCAGCAGTTGCTGAACTTCTGGAAGAAATCTAACTCCACCCCAGCCCCACTCCCAGGTGGCTTTGCTTCTTCCCTTCCCCCACAGCTGGCCTCAGGCAAAATTAGGCCTCACTCAGTTCTGGGGTGGGGCTCAGAAAGGGCGGCAAACCCCCACCCCTACACCGGCTGAAATGGCTCTGCGGTGGGTGAGGATGAAAGGGAACCACTGACTGTCTGACATCTGGTGGCCAGAAGCAGGCTGGGAGAGCCACTGCTGAATCTCACAAGTCGGCCATTGTTACACTGGAGGCTACTTTGGTTCTGTGGCTGAAGCATACGCGTGCGCGTGCGTGCGTGCACACACACACACACACACACATTTAAAGAAAAAAAGATTGTTTTTAAACAGTCTAGGATCAAGACAGATGGCTGTGGCTGATAGTTTCTGGAGAAAAATAGCAACTCCTGTGTTTGGGTTATCATATGATAGGTCACAAAGAAAAGGGGCTTTGTTCTATGACTGGTTTCGCTAGTCAATTAAATGTTTAGTATCTGCCACGAGGTTCCTGCTGTTTAAGTAGAGATACTTCAGATAAATTTCACAGACACATGTGGATGCCTAATTTAAAGTTCTCTCTTTGTTCTTTCTTTCTCTTTTCTTCTGTTCCCTCCTCCTTTCTACTCCCTTACTTTCCTCTCTTCTTATTCTCCTTTTTCTTTCTCTCTATTCTCTCTTCTCTCCTCTTTCTCCCTTCCTTCCCTCCCTCCTTCCTTCCTTCCCTTCCTTCCTTCCCCCTTCTTCCTTCCTTCCTTTCTGTCCTTCGTTCTTTCCTTCCTTCCTTCCTTCCTCTTTCTCTCCCTTCTGTTCCTCCCTGCATTCCTTCCTTTTCCCGATTGTTCTTCTCTGGTTTATCCTCTCTCTTCGTAGCTTCCTCCTTTTTCTGTTCCTCTACACTCCCTCTTCTATAAATAGCAAATTATAAGTGAGGGGGAAAAGGGAAAGCTGCAGGGATCATGGATTAGAGTAGGAATCATGCATGACTATGAAAGATGTGTGTCAACCTCCACATGTGATCATTTGTGCTGTGAACTTAAGGTACATCTGTGGGCTCCTAAATATTATCAGCATGACCCAAGCTGGGAGGAAATGCTGCTGCAGGGTAAGTCTCAAGGGCTGGGCATGGGATATGTGGGTGGCACTAAAGAGGGCAATCAGTAATTAAGGCCCTTGGGTACAAGTAGCTACAAAAAGTTTGAACTCTTACTTTTTGTGTGAATCATGCATCTAAAGCAGCTAGGGAGAGAGGCAGATGCCACAGACAGAGTCACCCAAATGAAAGCTCATGAAATGCCCCCAGTGCTGGTTGCCACAGCTTTCGTCTAGGTACTGGAGGTCTGCTCTGCTAGCTTGAGGGTATAGTCTGGTGTATTTGTTCATTTAACAATTCCTTCATCCATTCCATA